ACTTCCAATTGTAAAATAAATAAGTAACTGGGATGTAATGTATAGCATAGGAATATAGTCAAAATATTGTAACAACTTGGTACGGTGATAGCTGGTACCTAGAATTATCATGTATATAAATGTTAAATCACTGTGTTGTACACCTGAAACTAATGTAATACTGTCTGTCAACTACCCTTCAATAAAAAAATAAAAATAAATAAATAATTAATTTTAAAAAGGTGTTATTCAAAACTCACTAAATCAAATAAGTATAAAAAAATTTAAACAGTTGAACTTTAGAAGGATTTTTTTGGTAAGTCTATAGCATTTTACATAAGTCGGTAGTTCTAAGCTCTAACTTCAGAAGGAAGAGATTTTGGTGATAACCTATTACTAACTTCTAATCCTCCTCACAACCATGATGTGTATTATTATTATCCCTGTGTAAAAATGGGAGGACCTTGGGGCAGTCACAGCTAATAAGTCAGTCTGGCAACAGAGTCCTGCTCTTGTGCACTGTGCCCCTAAGACAGCTGTGCAGAAATGACCCATCCTCCCAAAGTCTCCATTGGAAAGTGTAAACCCCTGCTGCTGATGACCCGTAACAGTTAACCTTTCAGAAGACTGTCCCCATTACCAGCAGGCCCACTCCCAAGACGCCATGCACATGTGACTCACCAAGCTCCGGGCACTAGGGTAGGGGGCCACAGAGATGCTGGGGGGAAGGGGGCTTCCAGGCCTTGGGGGCAGCCTCTGCCAGAGCTCCTCAGCCATGAAGGGCATCAGCGGGGCCAGAAGGCGGAGACCCACATCGGCACAGGAGAACAGGACCTGAGGAGGCCCTAGGGGGCGGGGCGAGCGCCGCAGCACCGGCTTCACAGCCTCCTAGGGAGGAAGCCAACTGGTCAGGGCCACAGCCATGTCCTTCCCCCACACATCCACCCCCTACCAGCCGGGAATGCTGTGAGTACCAGGTAGGTACGCTCAGCATCTCCAACACCACAGATTGTCCCAGGAGCTGCTCTGCAGCACGCAGGAAGCAGGAATCCAGGGCAGAGATTCTCAGGGGTGGGTGGGGAATAATTTGTCAGGGAGATGTGTGTAGCTTAGAAAGAAAAGCAGTAAGTTTTTTGCTTATCAAAAAGAGACAGTAATTTTTAAAAGGTTGAGAAACAGTAATTTAGGGCAATGGCCCTGAGCCAGAAGCAGCGCCTGGGATGTGGGAACTCTCACCACCCTGCCCCCAACCTGCTCAATGAGCCACCCTCTGAGGTTGGCCAGACCTCCCGGTGATTCTCACATGCGATCAAGTGTGAGAACCCTGGTCTACGAGCACTGCTGTCTGCTACAGCCCCCGGCAACCCAGGGCCCAAACTCAGCATACAGGGACTGAAAAAGAATCTCCATCTGCCTCCCAACCCCACTCTGTCAGACTCAGCTTTCTAGACGTCTCCCCATCCTCCTCCTTCCTCCAGGTGACAGGCAGGGAACAGTGCCCAGGCTGTGCTGCTGAGCCCAATCCCAGGGAAAGGAAATGGGGACATCCCTGGCCTGTCTCTTCCCAGCCAAGGGAAAAATTAGGAACCGAGTTCAGGGCTCTCCGCCAGGGAAGCAGATCTCCAGGGCAACAAGCAGCAGTTCTGGAGTGGAATGCCACACCTTGAGCCTCACTCACCAAGTAGACATCACAGAGGCTATGGAGCCAGAAGTGGTGCAGGGTGTGCGTGACGAGCGGGAGCTCTCGGGCGAGGAAGCCTCGCTCACACTCCCGGGCGGTACTGGCAAGGCGGCTCATGATCCAGGCGTCCATGGGGGATAAAGGGGCCAGCTGAGGGCAGGAGGGGGTTTCAGGGTGTCACGGCTCAAATCCCACTCCCCTACCTCCTTTCCTTCCAGATGCCACCTTCAACCCTCAGAATCTGACTACCCTCGCTCCCAAGCATCTCTTCTCTTACCTCCTCTGCAGGCTGGGGCATGAAGTTATCCCCTAGAACATTGAAGATAAAGCGCAGGGCATTCCAGATCTTGTTACAGAAATGCCGGGAGCTCAGGACCTCAGAGACAGACAGGTGCACGTCACCTGCTGGAATGGAGAAAGGGGAGAGTGGGCCCTTGGGTGGTGGCAGCACAAGGGGCCCTCAGCCCCACACTGCCCCTCTGCACCTCCCTCTTCCTTGCCCAGGCTTACCGAGGGCCCCATGGGAACACAGGGCGAATCTCAGGGCATCTGTCCCACACTCAGGAATCCCATGAGGGAAGTCCTCACTCTGCAACCAGAGGGAGAAGAGGGGTGGCAGATGCCTATGAGGCTGCAGGGCCAGAAGCCTGAGGTTCAGAGGAAAGCAGAGCACTAGAGGCAGGACAGGGCAGACACTGGCAACCCACCTGAGCTGTGGCCGCGATTGCAGCAGTTCTGGAGTGGAATGCCACACCTTGAGCCTCACTCACCAAGTAGACATCACAGAGGCTATGGAGCCAGAAGTGGTGCAGGGTGTGCGTGACGAGCGGGAGCTCTCGGGCGAGGAAGCCTCGCTCACACTCCCGGGCGGTACTGGCAAGGCGGCTCATGATCCAGGCGTCCATGGGGGATAAAGGGGCCAGCTGAGGGCAGGAGGGGGTTTCAGGGTGTCACGGCTCAAATCCCACTCCCCTACCTCCTTTCCTTCCAGATGCCACCTTCAACCCTCAGAATCTGACTACCCTCGCTCCCAAGCATCTCTTCTCTTACCTCCTCTGCAGGCTGGGGCATGAAGTTATCCCCTAGAACATTGAAGATAAAGCGCAGGGCATTCCAGATCTTGTTACAGAAATGCCGGGAGCTCAGGACCTCAGAGACAGACAGGTGCACGTCACCTGCTGGAATGGAGAAAGGGGAGAGTGGGCCCTTGGGTGGTGGCAGCACAAGGGGCCCTCAGCCCCACACTGCCCCTCTGCACCTCCCTCTTCCTTGCCCAGGCTTACCGAGGGCCCCATGGGAACACAGGGCGAATCTCAGGGCATCTGTCCCACACTCAGGAATCCCATGAGGGAAGTCCTCACTCTGCAACCAGAGGGAGAAGAGGGGTGGCAGATGCCTATGAGGCTGCAGGGCCAGAAGCCTGAGGTTCAGAGGAAAGCAGAGCACTAGAGGCAGGACAGGGCAGACACTGGCAACCCACCTGAGCTGTGGCCGCGATCGCCAGCTCCTCGCGGGCCAAGTTCCCATCCTGCAGCTTTTTCTTAAGCACCTGGGATAGGAGAGTAATTCACTGGCCTCAGTCACAGACCCTGCCCCAACAAGGTTCCCACCTCTCTCCCTCACTGTCCCAGCCCTGCTGCTGGTGCCTCTCCTCAGGTTCCCTTCCTCTCTCCCCAAACCTCATTCCTTGCCATCCCCTTCCTCCTGACCTGTAGCTCCACCCCATGGATGATGTCCCGAGGGTCCAGCACATTCCCCAGGGACTTGCTCATCTTCCGGCCCTGTCTGTCCCGAACCATGGTGTGAAGAAGCACCTGGGGGCAGGGAGGGAGGGTCAGCAGAGGGGGCTAGGAAAGCCTGTCCCTGGAGGGTCCCCTGGGATCGCTGGCCTCCATGCTCTAGGTGTTAGGCTGGGAAGTAAATCAGAAAAAAGGAATCGCGAGCATGGAAACCACATTAGGGGCTAGATGGGGGGACAAAGTTTGGGGCAAAGTGGGGAGTCACAGAGAAGGGCAGGGCACTGAAAGGTGGTTACCTTGCTAAAGGGAAGCTGCCCTGTAAGCTGGGTCCCCAACATGACCATGCGGCCCACCCAGAACAGCAGGAGGTCACTGCCTGTTTCCAGAAGGGACAAGGGATAGAAACGAGCAAGGTCTGGAGTCTAGGAGGAAAGAGATAAGCAGTAAGAGACCCAAGCCCTCTGTGGGGAGCCCAGGTGTCTACTTCATCATCCCTACCTTCAGTCTCTTCCTCTCAACCTGCCATACCTCTTGGGGCCAGCCCAGAGCAGCAAAAGGGAAAAGAGCTGAAGAGAACCATGTGTCCAGGACATCAGGGTCTGGGAAACAGAATGGGGAAAGGGGACAACTGGAGCCTCAACTTGCAGGACCTTAGTCTGTTGCTGTCCCCCCTCCAGCCCAGCCACCCCAACCCTGGCAACACCAGGGGGTGGGCCCTTTGCTCCATTCCCGGTATCCTGACCCTGCCTTCTCCCCCTCAGCATCTGCTCCCTCAGAGACCCAAATGCCCCGACTGCACCCCTGCCCTCTGCAGCTCAGGCACTCACCCCTCTCCAGGGTCAGCTCTGCCCCTGGTCTCCCTGTCAAATCTGCAGCTACTTCTCTGGCTTCAGCCTCTGTCCGCCCGACCACCCAAAAGTCCTCCCTTTCGCCCTGCAGAAATAAGAAGAGGGGAGATGATGAAGAATGGCCCTTTGAAAGGTGTGAACATCATTGAGCTACGTTCTCATGGGGTCTGTAATGGCCAGACCCCTCCGACGCAGACATGAAGGCAGGCAAGCTCAGGTTCGGGAGCTCTGATCACACACAGCAAAGGCAGGGAACTGGAATGGGCAATGAAGTCCTTTGACTCCTGCACTAAGGCTCCCCCATGCCCAGCCCTCCCATCTGCTTCCTCCTGCCAACCTCTGCGTGCTCCTCCATGACCAGGTAGGCCGGAATCTGATGGCCCCACCACAGCTGCCGAGAGACACACCAGTCCCTGCCAAGGGACATGAGTGGTTTCTCAGCATAGCCAGTGGGCTCCCCCCACCTCCATGAGCTCCCTTCCCCTTACCCAATGTGGGCAAACCAGTGCTGCCAGTTCTTCTGATGGAAGGATGGACTGAGCTCCAGGGTCCCCGACTCTACAGCCTGGAGGAAAGGACCCTTAGATGGTTCTCCCTTCCTGCGTCTGCACCCATCCCGGATGCAACAAGTGGCCTCTGAGATGGTTCTAAAACTCAGAAACCTGGAGGAGTCTGTGCTTGAGTGAGGACATGAGTCAGCCGTTTCTGGGCCCCCCTGCCTCCATCCCCACAGCTCTCCTCTCAGTTATGCAGCTAGACAGGTCTGTGGTGCCAGTGGCCCCCGCCCTTCCTTCCTCCAGTTCTCAGAGAGCCCCGCCCCCAGGCCCTGCCTTTCCTAGCCCTGCAGGCTCACCTGGGCAGCTCGGTGCCCCATCTCCCGGCAGCGGACAAACCACTGGCTCTTCAGTAGGTATTCTACCACGTCCCCGGAACGGCTGAGGGGAGACAGAGTGAGACGCTGCTCCTCCAGCCCAGCGCCCTTCCCCCAGGGACATGGGGCCCTGCTACACGCTAGCCCTCAGGACTGAGGGTGCAGGAGCAACAAGGGACTGGCACAGAGCTTGTACTCTTGTGTAAGGGGTGCACAGTTCATCCTGTTGTCACTCTGAAGTTTCATCTGTCCCCTTCCGGGAGTGGCCCAAAGTAAAGGGGTTCAAACAGGGTTACCTGCAAATGGGCAGCACCATGGGGTGGTTCTGGAGGCCCCGGAACAGGCCCCGCTCCCTCAGTGCAGACATAATCTTCTCCCGGGCCACAAATCGGTGAAGACCCTGGGGACAAAGTGCAACGGTAAAGGTTAAAGGCCACTAGAAAGATAGAGTGGCAGGGGAGGAGGAGAGCAGGGCAGAGGGGGCTCCCAGAGGACAGGCTAACCCTAAGGCCAGTACCACCTGCAGCCAGTCCCCACAGAGGGAAGTCATGGTCCCATCCTCCGCAATGACGCTCAGGGGGCTCAAGCCGTGTCGGGCCCCCAGCTCAGCATCAGCAGGGCTGTGAGCTGGAGTCACCTTCACTGCCCCTGGGGGAGAACCGCCATGAGCACTGAACCCTGACCTTGGCTTCTGCTTTTCCAGAGGTATCGTCATGGCCCACCCTTCCCTGTGCCTCCCTCCCCTGCTCTGTCTGTCTCCCTTCTGTTCCCCACTACCCATCAAGACTACCTATATGAGGCTTTCTCTCCTCCACTTTCTTCCTCTCCTGGTTTCCTCCCCTCAGTTCCCAAACCCCTGCTTTCTCTCCTCCCCGACCTCCACTCACCTGTGCCCACCTGTGGCTGAACAGTGGAGTCTATGATAAGAGGGAGTAGCTGCCCCGTCAAGGGGTGACGAAGTTGTCGCCCATGTAGATGCTGAAAGAAAGGAGAGGGATCAAGGACAGGCACATGTGTGGCGTGGCAAGGTCTGGGCTGGGGAGACAACCCTGGGAACAAGAGTATGAAAACCAAAAGGTAAAGAGCAGGGGTCAGTGAACTTTTTCTTAAGGGGCCAGAGTGTAACTGTATTAGGCTTTGTGGGCCAAGAGCAAATTCAGCCTCTGCACTCAGCCACTGTACCGGAATTAAGTAATAGGTCATAGGCAATACATAAGACCATGAGTACAGCTCATACAAACACAGACAGTGGGGTGGCTCTAGCCCACAGGCCATAGCATGTCAACCCATTAGCCAGAGAAAAAGCATAACAACAAGAAGAGAAGGGAATAGAATCAGAGCCATTGGCGAGCTGAGATGAGAGACATCTTAGCAAAAGGAAGTAGAAGCAGGAGGGCAGGAGCCACCATCCCAAAGGGAGGGGAAGAGAATGTGGGGGCAGAAAGGCAGGGAGCACGCATTATATTACTGTGTATCGGGAATCGTGGGGATGAACAGCCACAGCCACGTCTCCAGGCAATGTCTCTGGCCTCGTGGTTCCTACCACAACCTCTGTGTCTAAAGACAAAATTCAAGAACTTAAAGCTGATCACCCCAGCCCCTCACTTCCAACACAACTGAAACCAGGAGAACTAGAGAGGGTGGGGGCAGGGGGTGGTCAAGGATGAGCAGGCCCCCAGGAGGAACTAGAGAAAGTGAGGACCAGTGTCTGTAAGAGCCTGGGGTTTCTGTGGAAGCTAATGACCAAAAGGCCACGAGGTGTCTGGTGCCAAGGAATTCCTTGACAATATGCAAGGAAGAAATGAGTACAGCATTAATAAAAGAAACCAAATTCCTTGCATCATGCCCAGAGGACACTGGGAGTTCTTGGCATCCTATCACAAATGCTATGCATTCTTCAGAGTTAGTGCCAGCTCCTTGGTCCTCCCCTTCCCTTAACACTTCAGAACACTCACTGCTCAAACCACACTTTAGAACTGCTCTTCAGTCTCTTTCAAGAGTAGCAGCCTCCTACAGAATCATAGTGAACTCCAAAGGGAAATGATGATGTGCCCTTTTCTTACACAGCCCAGACAGCCTGGTAAGTGCCCCCAAGAATGCAAACACTACTCTTCCCACCAAGTTGTGTGGCAAACAGGCTGGTGGGTTCCCTCCCCTTAGCTCAAGGTGGGCTTGAGAAACAGAAGCAGAAAGAAGTGGGTGGCCCTTCTGAGGACTATCCTCACCAGGCTCTCCATCCACAGGGAAGGCCACAGAAACAAGGAGGCCAAAAGACACAGGGGTGGGGCAGCCCGGCAGTTGAAGCTCCATGCGGCCAGGTAGGGGCCGGCTCTCCACCTGGAGGTGGCAAAGAAACAGGGTCGGAGAGCAGCCTTTCCACAAGGCTCACACCCAGGTTTTCCCTCCTCTGTTCATCCTCCGGACAGCCCCTCGAAAAGAGATTTAGAAGCCACCTCCCTCTGCCCTCAACAAATTCTTGCGTAGTCACACCTACAGAGAACACTCACAGAGCACATAAACCACATTCAGGTATCATGCTGAGCATCTTCCAGTTCTCATTGAAACCTCACAACACCCCCTGACCAGGCATTTCCATCACCCCAATTTACAGATTGAAGAAACTGAGGCTGACGGAGGCTAATGGCTGGCCAGGAGTCACACAGATGGTAGGAGGCAGGACTCAGACGTGAATCCAGGCAGCCAGTCTGGCTCCAGAGTCCAAGTTTTCACCTGCCCTGGAGCTCTCACAGACCTGCTTCTCTTTCTCTGCCTCACCTCAATATCTGAGATGGCTGATCTTAAAGCGCATGACCAGTTGACAAGCTGCCGGTTTCGGTACAATAACCCAGCCTTGTATAGTCGCACGAAAGCTTCAGTCACGGCCACTGAGAAGCCCTAGAATGACCTGAGTGTCCACATCCAGTGGCTCCTCAGCCCATCACCCCACTCAGGGACTGTGCACTCTCGCCCTCCTACCTCCCAACACACAACCCGCCTCCCTGACACCACAGGAACCAAGGCATGGGACACTCACTGCATCCATAGTGAAACACTCTCGGTCCCAGTCCAACGAGGCCCCCAGAGCCCGGAGCTGCTCACAGATCTCTCCACCTTTCCTGTGCCCAGAGAGATTTTTGTCAGCCAACAGGTTCTGAGCACCAACTATGTACAAGGTGCAGTGATGTCCCCTGCAATGCTGGGCACTAGAGTACAGCTTTGATCTAGACTCTAGAAACTAATGAAGGTAGACATAAAACCCAGTATGGGGCCTTCCATGACATTAAAAGAAGCAAAGAGTTCTTTAGTAACCAAGGAGGGGTTTGGAGCTAATTTGGAGGAAACTCAAAGAAGTTTTATGGATAATAGGTGGTAACAGACCTGAAAGAATGAGGGCAATTTCAGTGAGGGCAGGCGGGAGGTGGGAATAGGTAAGGAGGAGAGATGAAGAAATCTCGACAAGGAAAGATGGTATAAATAGAAGGGGGAAATATACATATATATGCACATATACACACAAATATATGTCTTTTAAAGTACACACACACAGCTTGGAGACCCCACCAAATGCTAAAGGAGTCCAAGAGAGTTTACATGTCTGAGGGAAGTCAGACTGGATGGAAAGAGGCTCGACCACAGGTAGGAGACAGTGGCTGGGAACCTGCCCTCTTGGCCACACACCCCAAGTCCCGACCTGTCCCCAACCCCCTGCCTGGCACACTCACTCTTCCTTCCACTTCCACACCTCCCTAAGGAAGGCTTCTCGGCTCAGCTCGTGTCTCCTCACTCTTCGATCCTTCCACAGTTGTTTCTCCACCACAGCCTATGGGAAAATTAGAAGGGAAATGAACAGTGAATCAGATCACTTTGGGAGAACTTTCTTTCACCCAAGAAAAGGAAAAAGTGGCAAAAGACATACTTGTGTAGCAATTCCTGCATGATCAGAGCCAGGGACCCACAGCACCTGATCCCCACGCATCCGGTGCCTATGAAAGAAATACCTTGAATTCCTGAGCTCACATGTTTATCCTCATTTCTTCCCACAGTTCCTACTCCCCAGCCAAGAACTCAAGCCCCTCTCACCAGCGCACAAGGGCATCCTGTATGGCCACCGTCAGTGCATGCCCAATGTGCAGGGAGCCAGTGACGTTGGGAGGTGGGATGCACATGGAGAAGGCCTCCCCTGTGGCCTGGGGCAGCCTGGTCTAGAAGGAGAAAAGTCAAAGGGCAAGAGAGGATTGGATGTTACTCAGAGGAGAAGCACCCTCTGGTGTCTCCAAGGCAGAAAGAACTTTAGGAAGAAATCTGGCAAATACCAAGGAAGGGAGAACCTGACAAGAGAACACTTTGGAGATGCCGGACAGAAGACAAGCTCTCCCTGGTGTTTTGGCAGGTTCTACAATATGAGCTCCAGACTCTGAGGCCCAGTTGTGCCCACTAACCTCAAGGACCCTATGGGACCATTTAGTAACCCTCCCTGCCTGGTACTAACCTGATATTCGGGTTTGAAGAAGCCCTCTTGCACCCACCAAGGGTACCAGGCAGCCTCAACATACCAGGGGCTATAAGCAGGAGGCAGGGGCTGGGAGACATCTGTGGAAGCAGAGAACTGAACTTTGTTCCTATGCTGCATTTCAGCAGACCAAATGGACAACAAAAATGTAAGAAAAGGCCTTCAAGTGTCCTAGTTACCTTTCTTTTCACCGTATTCCGTGGGGATTTCATACAACACTATCTCCTTAGGAGTCCAGGCCTTAATTGATTCTGCAAATGGCTGGAAGTGCAAGGGACAGGAGATGCAATTCCCAGTATACCCCAGGCATCTGAAATCGAGCCAGTCTCTTCTCCAGCCCCCTCCCGCGTCTTCTCAAAGAACCAAGGACAAGCTGTCTAGCCCCTAACCTTGCTCTTCCGGGCTGTTCCAGCCTCCAGCGCCGCCTGCTTCTCTCGCAGGCGCTTCTGTTTGGCTTCACTGTCCCTCCGGGAAATGGAGGATCCATAAGGCTCTGACTGGGTAGAAAGGGGATGGGACCTGGGGAAGCCCCGTGAGGGCCTCAGCCCGCAAAGTGGTGGTCGAAAAGAGGCCAGAGGCAAATGAAGCATCAGGAGTGCTTGGAAAGAGGCCAAGATCTGTTCCAGATAGAGCACATTAGGAGAATATGGGGATAGGGAAAGGTCACACCCTCTGATGTCACACCCTACACCCTATTCCTCATTCCCTACCTTCTGCTAGCACATGTCTGTTTTTCTGTTATCCCCTCCCACATACCCCTTTCTCCGCAGGGCTAGAGTGCGTGGTGTCGATTGTGACAAAATCTTGGAGTTGAGGACACCAGGGATCATCTGGGGCAGGATTGGAGTCTCTGTCCCTCTACATACGCATCTGCAACGTGGGGTGCCCTCTGACACACGGGAACGTAAAGAACTCCGGAATTCCAGGAGATGATGGACATCAGGGCGCCACAGCCAGCAAGGAGTACCGCTTGGGTCACTGTTATCTCGGCCGCCCCAGCCCCACTCAGCACGCCTTCCTCCCGTCCTACCTCGCGGCACCGCCCCCCGCCCCCCAGGGCCACGCGAGCGGGCTCACCGGGACAGCCCGCCACGATCCCAGGGCGCCCCGCAGCGGGAAGGGTGGCAGCAGAGGTTGAGAGCTACCCGCGACCTCGACCCCGGAACTAGACCCGCGATCTGCGCAGTTCAAGTAGGCGGAGCCCACCTATGCGCATGTGCGGCAGCTGGCTCGTCCCCTCCCGTCTTCCCTCCAGATCCAATGGCCGCCGACGCCAAAGGAATGTCACCGCGGAGGGGCGTGTCGGGGGCCGCGGGGCTCATTTCCACAGCTTTATTAACAAGTAGAGTCCAGACGTGTAAATAAAGCACCCGTGAGTTCTGAGGCCGCGCCCGCCTCCCCGGGGCCGGTCCCGGTCTCGCACTCAGGAGCTGTGCTTCTGCCGCTTCCAGAAGCGCTTGACGTCGCTGTGCCCGGCCGGGGTCACCACCATGAGCCGCTTGGCCGAGTTCTCGAACACCAGCACGCCCAGCTCCCGCGCGTGGGCCAGCAGCAGCTCAAAGTCCACTTGCGACAGGAACTGGTTATACAGGACGCCTGGGGATCCACAGGCATGAGCAAGGAGGGGAGAGAGGCGAGAACGTGAGGCAGGGTCCCTCGGTGGCACCTGCAGGGCAGTGGTCTGGACTTGTCACCCACCACAATTTAAAAACGAACCCTCTACGCTTGTGTCTGTTCCAGGGCTCATCATAACACTAGTGTGATCCAGCCATATTTAGGAAGGCAATATAACACAGTAAGAAAACCCATTAATGCTCACCAAAACCAGATAAATTACTGTGAATTACCCCTCCCAATTTCCCTCTTCTAGCTAAATCTGAATTTCACTGAGTCGAGACAGTTTACTATTACTGATGCACCCCAAAATAGTCTTTACAGCTTTCCTCTGCCAGCCCATGCAGTAAGCAAAAAAACAAAACTCATGAATAAGCCTTTTTAGTTCATCAAGACCAAATTGTCCTTCCTCTGCCCAATAACCAAGAAGCAACCACCAGAAGCCACTCACCCTCAGTGAACCGGAGTCTGTCCCTTTCCAGCTCCCACAGCCGAATCTGGTCGGTAATGGCAGGCGGCAGCACAGGCATCTACTAGGCAAGGTACTGTAAGATTCAGGAATACTGCCTGAGACAGCCCCAGCCCTCCACTCATTTCCTAGATTTGGGTACCCCTTTTCTCTTTTCCATCACTTCATCACCAGGTGCCAGGAGCTGTCAGCCTCCAGCAGTTTGGTACCTGTTTGAGCATCACTGGGTGGGCTCTTGTCCTTAGGAAATGGATGATCTAGGAAAACAGACAAGAATGTGCTCAAGCACTCCAGTAATAAGGCAGGAAAGTTACCTGAGCTGTCACCTAATGTCACTGGAACATCAGCTTACTATTTAAAAATTCATAGCCTCATGCCTGTCGTCAACTCAACCCATCCCTGTTCAGCTGTTGTCCCACATTACTGTTCCCACTGGTCATGTCTGCTATTCCTTCTCTGGACCATTTACCCTTTCTACAAACTGCCCTCTGGAGTCTTGTTTTGTTTTTCTTTCTTTAAAACAACAACAGCTATTATTTTTTGACCCGTTAACTGCCCTTCAGGCTCTAACCTAAATGCTTTACCTCTCTCATTGAATCCTCCCAACGACCCTGTGAGGCAAAACTCATTATTTCCATTTTTACGACAAGGAAACTAAGGCTCAGAGGAGTGAAACAATTAGGCTGTTTTTGCAGCTCAGAAGTGGTGGCATCAGGACACAAAAACAAAGCTATCCCTCCTCCCTCCATGTTTCCTCCCCTCAAGTGCCTGCCTATTCCCACTGGAGCCTTGACTTTCATGTGCCTGGTCTGTGCTCACAGAAAACTCACCACCACCTGTTCTAACAGACCTGGAGCTAGACTTCTGTAAGGTGACCACTCTCTGTACCCCACAGCCCACGTGCAGCCTGTCTTCCAGCTCCCACCTCTCCCAAGTGGGGATACCTGCTGGGCTGTGATGCCACTGGCGATGGCCTGCTGCACGCTCTCCCGGGTCACCTGTGCCACCACCATGTTAGGGAAGCGATAGAGCATCTCGGAGAAGAGAGCAATGAGGGCGATCTGCAGCTCCGATTCTAACTCAGGGACAGGGACAAGTTGAGGAGGTTACCCCCATACTCAGACTCCCTCAAGACCTTCCTTCATGTGTGATGAGAAATGTCAGAGAACCCTCTAAACTGCCAGGTAAGTATGAACATACACTGGCATTCCCTCCTGTTTCCTCCCCTGCCCCCCTCCCATCCCCGACCTGCTTTCCCCAGGCTCTGTCTGGACTCACCTGTGTAGGCATACAGTCGGTAATTGGTTTCCACGACAATGAAGCCCGGCTGATGCACAGTGCCCCCAGCCCCAGAAACGCCTGATGAGAGATTAATGGCTAGGCGCGTGGGGTAGTAACGCCGAGATTTCCTCTGGAAAAGACAAAAGGAAAGGCAGAGGGCTCTCTCTCAGGTGTCAATGCCAACATCTTCCCACCGGAGACACCGGATCCCTCCCAGTGCCCAGAGCTCAACTCTCGACCTCTCTCTCCAGAGGGACCCAAGCATTCAGTCCTAGCAACTGCTTCCTGCTACTGCCTCCCAAGACCTCATTCTTTTCAAAGGCCAAGGCAACAGACCACCCTGTCTCTTCCCTGGAAGCCAGGGATCCGGGTGCTCATACCTTCCTCTGGAAAACAAGCCCAAACTCACGCAGATGTTGCAGGAAGTTCAACAGAGAATCACTCATACCTTCTACAGAGTAATCCTGGGGAAGAAAGGTGGCCAGCTGGGATCCAAAACACATCCCACTTCCCCTTCCCAACCCCACACACTCATTCCCCCTTCTCCCACCACTGCTTTGTGCTTTGTTCATTCTTACCTTTCCCTCTACTGCCCCATAACCTGTTTCTCCTTCCCATCTCTCTACCCTTCAGCTTTCCCACCCAAGGCCCCAGGTCCAGCCCCTGCTTACCTTGCCCAGAGTAGAGAAGCTGAGCTGGAAGAGGAAGGAGAGAATCTCCACAAGGTCCATGCCCCGACTCTAGGGAGGAATGGGCAGAAACAAAGGGGGAGGAATGGGAGGGAGAAAGTGAGAGGAGAGAGCATCAGGGAACAGAGTCTGCAGGGGCAGCCTCTCAGTGGGCCCTGAGAAGGGCACAGCTTGCCGGCAAGCAGTCCCGGGCTCCTCACCTGGGCTGTCTGCAGATACTGCAACATGAAGTACCAGAGCTGGGCGGGGGTGTCCAGCAACAAGAACTGGAAGCCAGCAGAGGTAATGCAGGGTGGCTCTCCAGGTTCAGTACTTAGAGGGTAGAGAGGACAATGGTAGAGGTACACAGAGAAGGCAACCATCCCCGCTTCTCCTCTCACATCTTCTTGGTTTCTCTCTGGCATTCTCCTCTCAGCTCTCCTCTTCAGTCAACACTCCCTAATCCTGACTTGTCCTGGACACTCAGCTTAACAGGGACCCATGGAGATGGCAAAGCAGGAAGCTGCTGTACCTCTCTGCCTTCCTCACCTCTTCATGAGCCCAGCCTGGCTGAGGAGCTGAGCCAAGTCCTGGCTGACGGCTGCACTAGGAGAGCCCACCATGAAGTGCAGGACCACCTGAGGAAAGGAAGAGACAGAGAGACATTCCTCTAAGGGCCAGGAGAAAGAGGAGCTAGAGCAAAGACTCACAGAGTCCCAAGTCCTCACCTCCCATCGCTCCTCGGCGTACTTGTCAAGTGAGGGAACATCCCGGGCATGCTTGTCTGGTCCCAGCTGACTTGTGTCATCAGACCAGGCCTTGCCCCTGTGCCAGGATGGGCCAAGAGTAAGGAACCCTGCCTGTGTCCCCTGCCCACCCTTCTTCCCTCTTTCCACCCTTATTCCCATGGGCCATGAGTGGGAGATACCCCTACACCATGCAGCTACATCTGATCCAACTTATTCCTAATGGAGCTCCTAAAGGTGCAGCCTGCAAAGTTGAATTACTAATAGTTTAATTACTCCCCCCCCAACTAATAGTTGAATTACTAGCTCCCCCGGCCTAATTTAGGAAGAAATGGAAGTGACATACCCACCCAAAAGGGCAATGCGGAGGTTCTGGCGGAAGATGGGGTTAAGGATGAGGCCCTGGAGACCACCAGGGAGCAGCTGGCTGTGCCAGATACGAAGGCCACTCAGCAGCCCTGTACTCTCCTCCTGAGTTCTGAAATAGAAGCAGAGGTGAAGGGGATATCTGGAGAACCAAAAGGAGGAGGCCCATACCACCCTCCATTTTTGCCTTTTCTGAACTGGTGATCCTTGTCAGCTGTTTCACAGAGTGAAATCAGTGTCTTCTTAAGGCGCATTCCCTTACTGCAATGCCTACCAGAGACTTGTTACAGACATCACAACTCTCCAAACGGGTAAATACAACATACACAGTTTCCCAGACTTACTTAATTACCAGTTTTGTGGTGTACCCATTAATATTTCCTGGAAGGGTTTGAGAAATCTAGCTGTTGAGAAATTTGTATCTGGAAAATGCAGCAGAGACTCACTTGCTGAATTCCTTCTTTACCCACAGGGCTACAGCAGCTTGTGGCAAAGGCTGCTCCAGAAAGAGCATCCGCATCACCCAGTTCTTAGCCAAAGATGGGAGCTCCCTATAAGCGGGGAGAGGTAAATGTTAATGTCAAAAACTGCCTTAGATCTGCAACTCTGCCCTCAACAACCTCTCAAACATCTCATTCCACCCTGTACACCCTGAACAGTCTTGCCCCCCAACAAACTCCATCTGATTTGGCCTGACACACTTTAATCTCCAAGCCCCCAGGGCTAAGTTTCTACCCATAACTTATCCCAGTCTGCAGGCTGCATTACATTTCCTCACCATGGTCCTTCCCCATAAGGGGGTCCTCACCTGAAGACAGCCAGACAGGTGGCAGGGTGCCCATATAATCGGTCCAATACTCCAGGGCTCAGGCCCCCTAGAAATTCCTGCAGATTCCTGCATTGTAGGTGGACTCGGTTCAGTCCACCCTTTGAGGTGGGGCTCTCCATCACCTAAAAGATGCAAGTGTCAGAAACGCCCCCCCAAAATCCATAACAGTGCCACCCCTCAGCTTTTCATTCCAGATCCACTGGCTCCTGCAACCCATTTTTTTCTGTGGTTTCCTTT